AGAGAGAGAGAGAGAGAGAGAGAGAGAGAGAGAGAGAGAGAGAGAGAGAAGAAAGAAAGGGAGAAACAAAGAAAGAAATTAAGGTTGAACTAAAAACCTGTGTTGGGGTCTGGGGCTATGGCTCACTTGGTAGAGTGTTTGACTAGCATGCACAAGGGCCCCCAGGTTCACTCCCCAGCACCACATGAAACAATCAAAGTGGTACTGTCATCCTAGAACTCTGGAGGTAAATGAGGAGGACCAGAAATTCAAGGCCATCTTTAGCTACACAGGGAGTTTGAGGCCAGCCTAGGCTATGTGACACTCTGTCTCTGATGGCCAGTGGTCATGTCTACCAAGTCAAACCAGGAGTTCTTGAATTAAAGCTGATGAAATTGGAGAAAGACCTAAACATGCCTGGATATTGGCTAGCTCCCGGGGCTGGCTCTTCTCCAGTGGGCATGAATCCTGACTGCCTGCCCTGCCTGGCTGCTCCCTGGAGTAGTTCTGGTTCGTTCAGAAGGAAGGCACAAGAACCCAGGCATCTCCTCTCCAAGGGCTTCTCATCTCCATTTCCCAGCAGCACAGCCTGGTGACTGTTGCCTAGGGACCCCAATGGCGGAGTGAGACAATTCCCTCACCATGCCATTCTCAGTGCTCACACTCAAAGGGTTGGCTATTGACCCCCAGGAGATTAAGGAGGGACCTGGGGTCACTCCTGAGTCTCAGTTGTTTGTGTAAATGTGGTACTCAGAGGCACAGGAGACAGTAGATTCATACCCTCCCCCGCACCACCACCCCCTTTTTGGAAGGGGAAGTGAAGGCACCAGGGTACAAGCTTGAATAGCCATGGATAAAGAAACAAACCAATATGGCTTCTCACTACCAGGCTCAAAACTCAGGGTCTCTTCTAGAGTATGCCAATGGTTAGTAGCCCAGCATCCAGCTATCCTCCATGACTTCAGTGCCCGGAGATACAGGATGGTGGGGATCTAGGACTCCATTCCTCAACCTCGTCTTCCTTAAATCCTCTCAGCCTGCTCCCACAGGAAGCCCTCCCGGCAGATCATTTCCTACACAGGAAGTCGCCTTTGTCCTGGAAGGGCAAATCTGGCTCCAAGAGGCCAGGCCTCTTGAGGGCTATTGTTCCGTGTTTCCTTCTTGGCAGCTGGCCATGGACTCCTGGGCCCCTCATTGCCTGGGGTCCAGTCCTGGCTCTTCCAGTGGCTGGCAGCCTAAGAGCACCGTCAGAGCAGCTGGTTACGCAACTAGAACTTCGTTCCTGCCCTCTGGGACACAAGGGTGTCAAAATTTTTCAATGCAGAGTCATGCAGAACTGCCCAGAATCATCTAGAATCATGCTGCAAAGCCCTTCCCAAATTCCTCACACTCAGATACTATGAGAGATAATACAATGATTGTAGCCTTTGTGTGTGTGTGTTTGCATGTGCATGCATGCATGCACTACTGCTGCATCGAGCATCATCGATACCTCAAGCATCATCCTCAGAAACATGCTCCACACTTTTTATTTTTATTTATTTTATTATATATTTTTTTTCTGAGATAGAGTCTCAAACTTGTTATGTAGCTAAGGACAGCCTTGAACTTCTTCTAATCCTCCTGCCTCTATCTCCCAAGTGCCTCTCTCTAAGTGCTGGGATTACATGTGTCTGCCACCACACCCAGTTTATTCAGTGCTGGGAACTGAACTCAGAGCTTCATGCTCCCTAGGCAGGCACTCTACCAGCTAGTCTGAAACTTTTGGGCCTGGAGCTCACCAATTAGGTTAGGGTTGGCCGGCAAGTGAGTCCCAAAGATCCTCCTGTCTCCACCTCCCCAGAACTGGGGTTACAAGTGTACCACCACACCCAGAATTTTTACATGGGTTCTGGGAATCCAATTCAGGTCCTTATGTTTTTACAAGGCTTTGATATTCTACCCACCAGGCCCTGCTTCCACCTTTTAACTACCAGGAATAATGCTGCTTTAACCTGTGTGCATAAATATCTGTTGAAAGTCCTGCTTTTAATTACTTGGGGGTACAAACCAAGAACCAGCATTGCTGTATCACAGGACAGCTCTGTTTTTAATGCTTTGGGGCTTACGATGTCCCCCCCCCCCATGTCTGCCGTGTTTATTAGTCCCCACATGGTGTTTAAGGCCCTGTTCCTCTCTATCTTGCTAGAGCTTGTCATTTTCTCCCCTCTGGTAGCAGCTGCTATCCTGAAGAGTGTGAGGCAGAATGTCACTGTGGCTTTGACTTCCATTTTCTTGTTGACTCGTGATGAGGTTTCATGTCCGTGTGGGCTGTCATACATCTTCTTGAAAGAAATGTCCCTAAATTCCATGCCTATGTTGTAATCGGGTGTTTGGTTTTTCTGGGCTGGCTGTTGCCTGAAGCTGCGAGGCTGCAGGGGTGGCTACTAACACATTCTGTTGGCTTCTACCTCTTCCCTTCTGAGGCCCAGTGGCCCCTCTCATCCGATGCCTGGCGCACAGGAGCTGGTGGAGAAGAACCAAAGTGCCCACCCTTTACTCGGTGTCTGCCTGGGCTGTCTCCCACCTGCCTGTCCTCCTTCTCAGTTTCTTCCAAGTTCTCAGGCATGTGGAGCTGGATTCAAATCTAGCCAATGTGCAGGAGGCCCCCAGGAAAACACCAGACACTGGTACAGCCTGTCACCTTCTGTCTGCCTCGAACCCAGTACAACACATGGGCAACGGTGAGTTCTTGTTTTATTTTTCTGAGACAGGGTCTCACTGTGTAGGCTAGGCTGACCAAAATCATGCCATCCTCCCGCCTCAGTCTCCCCAGTGCTGGAATTACAGGTGTGTGTCACCAAGCCAAGGAAACAATAATCTTACTGCCTTTGGAACAAGGGTGGGTAGGTGTGATGGTTAACCCTCCTTGTCACTCCATTAGATACAGAACCACCTAGGAGACACACCTCTGGGTGTATCTCTGACGTTTTCCAGAGAGGTTTAAATGAAGCGGAAAGACTCACCACGAATGTGGTGGATGGCAGCACCTGTGGCCTCAGGTCCCAGGCTAAAAAGAAAGAAGGAAGGAGTTGAACACTCCATGACTCTCTGTTTCCTGACTCAGGACCTAGTGTGACCAGCTCCCTCATCCTCCTGCCACCCTGCCTTTCTCACTGTCTTATTTAGGGTTTTTGCTGTGAAGAGACACTATGACCAGAGCAACTCTTTTTGTTGTTGTTGTTGTTGTTGGTTTTTTTTTGAGACAGCGTTTCTCAGTGTAGTTTTGGTGCCTGTCCTGGATTTCGCTCTGTAGACCAGGCTGGCCTCGAACTCACAGAGATCTGCCTGCCTCTGCCTCCCGAGTGCTGGGATTAAAGGCATGTGCCACCACCGCCGGGCAGAGCAACTCTTATAAAGGAAAATGTTTAACTGGGCCTGGCTTACAGGTTCAGGGGTTTAGTCCATGATTGTCATGGCAGGAAGCATGGCAGCGTGCAGGTAGACACGATGCTGGAGAAGAAGCTGAGAGTTCTACATCTGGATAGACAGACAGCAGGAAGAGAGTGTGACACTGGGCCTGCCTGGCTGAAGTATTTGAAACCTCAAAGCCCACCCTCAGTCAGTGACACACTTCTGTAGTTTTTTTTTTTTTTTTTTAACTCTTTGGGGGCCTGCCATCCAGCTCCCAAATAAAAACATGGAAGACAAAGGTAGACAGGATAATTTAAGTTAAGAAAAGCTGACTAGAAATAAGCCAAGCTAAGGCCGGGCATTCATAAGCAAGAATACGTCTCCTCCATGTATTTATTTGGGTTCCCTGGCTCCACCCCTTCAGCCTCTCATCCTAGGTGTGTTCTCCATACTCTCCCAGAGGTATTGGCAGCAGTTCCCTACCCAGGAGATGCGCTTTGCCAATCTTCCTTCCCGGTGGTGGGAGACAACAGTGAGTAGGGAAGGTCTTGTACTCGGCCACTGTTAAACCCTGGGTTTAATCTTTGGTCTTGCTGTTTGTAAGTAGCTCTGGTTGTCACTCATTCCTTTGTAATGGGATAATGATGCCCCCAAACCTCTCTTGTTGGAAGTTCAGACTTCAACCTGGACCAGCCCCTGGGACAGTCTCTGGTGTTCTGTAAATGGCCTAGGAGGAAGAGGCCCCACGTTGGAGGGGTCTAGTCCCTTGCTCACCAGCAAGCTGTGGCATGGGAGGAACAAAGTGGGGTCTAGAGGAAGCCTGATTTCCCCAGGCCCTGAAGAATCGTCAGTTGTTAAAGGGTAGAAGCCCAGCCCTGCCAGATGACCATAGTCCCAGGATGACTCTCACTCCTCTCTACAGCACAGCTACTACCAAACCAGAAGAGCAGAATCATACTGTGTAGTTTTTTTTTTCTCTTTACTCATTGTGGGGGCCACTTCCCAGCTCCTAAATAATCACAAGGAGACTTATTCTTTCTAATGAATGCCCAGCTCTAGCTTGGCTTATTTCTAGCCAGCTTTCCTTAACTTAAATTATCCTGTCTACCT